GCTTCTCCAAGTGCTCCTGGGATGTAGGCTGCAGCCATCATGGAATGTACATGTCACACACTAACCCATGAACAGAAACCGGGTGGATGTACATGGTCACACAGTCTGGTCAGGGACCAGAGTCCCCTGAGACCCAGGTTCAGCTCCCACCTGTGTCATTACTTGGTTATGTGAACCTGCACTGATCACTTAACCCCTCTGAGCTATGTCGGTTGGGAAAAACTGGGGATAATCGTATAATAATTCTTTTTAAAAATAATTCAAAGCATTCAGAAAAGCACAAAGAGCCACAGAAATATAAGCACTGCTGTGTTGAGGGAGGTTTGCAGATGACCTGACCAACAATGTCACCTTTCCCCTTTTCAGATCACTCACATTGCCTGAGCAGAAAACCACCTAGCAGAGCACTGAAAAGGTCTCAAAACACAGAAGAGCAAGAGGCAGCCAGGTGGATCTTTCTGGAGATTTCAACGAGGTGTCCAGTCCTGTTTTCTATTGCTGAAGATGCTGATGACAATATAACACACATTTCATGACTTACAACAACTCACATTGACTATCTCACAGTTTCTGTGGCTCAGGAATCCAGGCTCCATTCAACTGAGGCCTCTGTCAGTCAGGGATGTCAGCCTGGTCTGTGGTCTCATCTGAGGCTTGACTGGAGAAGGATCTGCTTCCATGCTCACACGGTTGCTGGCAGGATACATTTACTTACAGATTGTCACACTGAAGGCCTGACTTCCTTGCTGGCTGTTGGCTGGAGGCCACCCTTGGTTCCTTCCCCTTGGGCCTCTTTATAGGGCAGCTTTCTTTCTCAGAGCCAGCAAGGGGAAGAGTCTATACAGAGAGTGTGCTAGCAAGACACAAGCTATGGAGCCTGTATAATGTAATCGCAGAAGCAAGATCCCATCTACTTTGCTGTATCCTGTTGGTTAGAAGCAAGTCCTGCCTACACAAAAGGGGAGGGGATTACACAGGGGTGTGAACACCAGCAGCATGAATAATTGAGGGCCATCCTAGAGTCTCTCTGCCATACCCCTGAATTGGTGTCAGCAAGCATGCCAGCATCCCTCAGGGTGCTAAAATCTCTAATGTGGAGAAACATTAACATCTTCACCAATCCGAGAGCTTCCCCTCAATGCGATCCAAATATCCATCCAGGTGGAAAGAAAGAGCCCCTTCCACACCAGCTTTCCCTTGAACTGATCACAAATGCACCAAAGGCACGGCCTATTCCTACCATGCTCAGGGATGTACCCCCAGCAGCTAGAGCATCCCTGCATGGTACACAGCGAGTGCACAATCAGGCATTCGAATGAATGTGTTAAGGTGCTTGCAGGTTTCTGCCTGGGGAATCTTCCTTCTACTTCCCAAATATACTTCTCCTCTGCTCAAAATTCCCATGTGGGCCCAAGACAAGCTGTGCCCCCAAAACCAGCACCCATCCTTGGGCTCCAAACTCCCTCCCCTTCCATCTGGTGGCAGCCTTGAGTGAGGGGATTCCATCTGGAGCCCCCAAAACTTAGGCAGGCATCGTCAGGACCATCAAGTTCTTCATATGAGTGCTAGGATCAACCCATACTTAAGGTGATGGATACTCCAAATACCCTGACTTGATCATTACTCTTTCTATGCATGTAACAGAATATCACAGATACCCAAAAAATATGTAAAATATTATGTTTCCATAAAGAGAGAGAGGGCCAGGTGTACTGTGGTTCACTGTAATCCTAGCACTTTGAGAGGCTGAGGCAGGTGGATCACTTGACCCAAGCAGATGGAAACCAGCCTGGGTCACATAGTGAAGCCCTGTCTCTACAGAAAATACAAAAGTTAGCTGGGTGTGGTGGCTCATGCCCTTAGTACCAGCTACTTGGAGCCTGAGGCCAGAGGACTGATTGAGCGTGGGAGGTTGAGACTGCACTAAGCCATGATCACGCCACTACACTCTACCCTGAGTGACAGAATAAGACCCTGTCTCAAAAAAAAAAAAAAAAAAGAAAGAAAGAAAGAAAAAGAAAAGAAAAAGAGAGAGAGAGGCTTGAGAGGGAGGAAAGAGACAGGAAGAGAAGCAGGCACCAGAAGACGTGAACGTGGGAAATACAAGGGCTAGTCATACTGGAGAGATTGACAGTTAAAAAACAAAGGCCGGGGCTCAACCTGTAATCCAGCACTTCGAGCCGAGACGGGGGATACGAGGTCAGGAGATCGGACATCCTGGCTAACACGCGAAACCGTTCTACTAAAAAAAAAAAAAAACTAGCGGCGAGGGGCGCCTGAGTCCCACTACTCGGAGGCTGACAGAGAATGCTAACCGGGAGAGCTGAGTGAGCTGAGATCCCCACTGCCTCTTGCTGGCGACAGAGCAGACCCGTTCAATTAAAAAACAAACAAACAAACAAACAAAAGAAAAATAATGAGCCCAGGATTCACATTTGGGGCACAAACATGTCAACTAACAGGGAAGTCTGAAATGTCCACATGTTTCCTACTAACCACCACTGTCCCTGAACTTATCCACACTGCCCACTTCTGAATACTTACCTGGAGACACTAGGGTCAACTTGGAGCTTTTATAGAACCTGTAGCTCTCATGGCTGGACAGTCTGAGGATTCCCCAGGGGATGTGATTTCAGAACAAGACCCTGAGACAGGGCTTCCTATCTACCTGGGGACCACCCACCTCCCCTGTCCTCCTCCCCAGTAATTTATGCATCAGAGTTTTCACTCTACTTTGTCCACTGAATAAAAGCTCACAAAGTGGAGGATCCATTACGTTGGTAAGCATCCTCTTTTTTGTTGTTGGTGTTGCTGTTTGTTTGTTTGTTTGTTTGTTTGAGACGGAGTCTAGCTCTGTCGCCCAGGCTGGAGTGCAGTGGCAGGATCTCCGCTCACTGCACTGTGTCTGGAATTGGTTCCTTCCGGTGGGTTCTTGCCCTCGCTGAATTCAAGAATAAAACCGCGGACCCTCATGGTGAGTGTTACAGTTCTTAAATATGGTGAGTCCGGAGTTTGTTCCTTCACATGTTCAGATGTGTCCGGAGTTTCTTCCTTCCGGTGGGTTCGTGGTATCACTGGCTTCAGCAGTGAAGCTGCAGACCTTCTCGGTGAGTGTAACAGCTCTTAAAGGTGGCGTCCAGAGTTGTTCCTTCCTCCCGGTGGGTTCCTGATCTCACTGGCTTCAGGAGTGAAGCCGTAGACCTTCGCAGTGAGTGTTACAGCTCATGAAGGTAGTACAGACACAGAGAGTGAGCAGCAGCAAGATTTATTGCAAAGAGCGAAACAGCAAAGCCTCCACAGCCTGGAAGGGGACCCGAGCGGGTTGCCGCTGCTGGCTCCGGTGGTCTGCTTTTATTCCCTTACTTGGCCCCACTCACATCCTGCTGATTGGTCCATTTTACAGAGAGCGGATTGGTGCATTTACAATCCATTAGCTAGATACAAAAGTTCTCCAACTCCCCACCCCATTAGCTAGACACACAGTGCTGACTGGAGCATTTACAAACCTTTAGCTAGCAACAGAGTGCTGATTGGTGCATTCACAATCCTTTAGCTAGACACAAAAGTTCTCCAAGTCCCCACCCGACTCAGAAGCCCAGCCGGCTTCACCTCTCACAACCTCTGTCTGCTGGGTTCAAGCGATTCTCCTGCCTCAGCCTGTGGAGTAGCTGGCATTACAGGCACCCACCACCATGCCCAGCTAACTTTTCTACTTTCAGTAGAGACAGGGTTTCTCTATGTTGGCCAGGCAGGTTTTGAACTCCTGACTTCAGGTGATTCACTTGCCGCAGCCTCCCAAAATACTGGCATTATAAGCGTGAGCCACGGCACCCAGCTAAGCATCCTCTTTCTAAGTCACTCACCCACGAGTATGAATTCTTTGCCCAGATTGCTGTGCTCCATTGTAGCTGACTTCAGCCCAGTTATAAGCCTGGAGCACCTGGAGAAATCACACCCAGGTGGGATCTCAAAGGTGGAGAGGGTGGGAAGGGAGCAAAAGAAAGAGAAGAGGTGCAGAAAGGGAGGGACACAGATTCCAAAGAAATACCTGGCCGGTCTCAAGTTTGCCTCCTCCAGGAAGGGAAGGCAGCATTCTGCCGGTGCTCTCTCCCTCCTCCCCCATGTACTGCGCACATCTCCTTCCCAGACTCAGCCCAGTAGCCACCAAAAGCAAGCCAGAAGTGCCATAGCCTAGACAGATGTCCAACAACCTCACACAATGAACTTATGTGGGGAATTGTGTCCTTAGTCCCAAATGACCGAACCCCCAGTGTGCTGTGGATAAGCAGTGACCACAACCAGTACCACCTATCACTGAGTCGGGGAGCTGCTCTCTAAGAACCCCAGCTGCATGCCCCACTGGGGCACATCAGGCCACCTGGGGCTCCTTCCCATCTGTCCAATGCTGTGTCAAACGCACTTGTAACCAACTTTGTGGAAATGCTCAGCTTGTAAAGTGTTAATGTGGGCCTTTGTCAATGCTTAAGAAATAAGTCTGTGACTAAGCGACAGAGCAAAACTCAGTCAGAAAGAAAGAGCAAAAGAATGTCAGAAAGAAAAAAGGAAGAAAGAAAGGAAAGGAAAGGAAAGGAAGGAAGGAAGGGAAAGAAGGGAAGGATGGAAGGAAGGAAAGAGAAAGGAAGGAAGGAAGGAAGGAAGGAAGGAAGGAAGGAAGGAAGGAAGGAAGAAAGGAAGGAAGAAAGAGAGAGAGAGAAAGAAAGAAAGAAAGAAAGAAAGAAAGAAAGAAAGAGAAAGAAAGAAAGAAAGAAAGAAAAGAAAGAGAAACAGAGAAAGAAAAAGAAAGAAAGAGGTAGGGAGGAAGGGAGGTAGGAAGGAAGAAAGGAAGGAAGGAAGGAGGGAAGGAAGGAGAAGGAAAAGAAAAGAAAAACTAACCCTCCAGGCCATTGCTCCTCTCTTTCCCTGTGGGTCCACCCCCATGGCAACCCCCCCCACCCCCACAATGGTGCAAGGTTACAGTGGAAAGTGCCTCCGCTGGGATAGTCTCAGAACTTGGCTCGGGGCAGCGACAATCTTATCAGGAGCTTTTCTGTTTGGGATCAGGGGAACGGGTGACTTTCCGAGAATGATAAGACGGGACCCAAGTTGTATATAAGGGGCAGCTCATGCTGCTGCTCTGCACCTTCCTCCCGTCTTGCTTCTCCCTGGAGTTGGGACCTGGGAAGAACCATGAAGTGGCTGCTGCTGCTGGGTCTGGTGGCGCTCTCTGAGTGCATCATCTACAAGTGAGTTCCAGTGGCATGGGTGTGAAGACGGCTGCCTCCCACATCGCCCTTCTTTACTCCTGTGTCTTCCTTCTTCCCTTTTTTCTTTCTCTCTCTTCGGCTGTCTCCATCCCCCTTCTCTGCCTCTCTCTCCAACCTTTGGGAGGCAGCTCTGCAGACGTGGTTAAAACTCAGGCCCAGCCTGAGTCTGGTTCCCAGCTCCAGCCCTAGTCAACTTAACTTCTTTGCATTATTGCGCAGACGTGGGAGCGTCTCCCTTCCTTCTTCCTCTCTTAGACCAGCTTCCCTTCCCTTCTGGGGCTGCCACAGCACCCGGCGAGCAGAATCCTCACCTAATTCCTCTTCCTCCTCCAATCCACAGGGTCCCCCTCGTCAGAAAGAAGTCCTTGAGGCGCAACCTGTCCGAGCATGGCCTGCTGAAGGACTTCCTGAAGAAGCACAACCTCAACCCAGCCAGCAAGTACTTCCCCCAGGCGGAGGCGCCCACCCTGATAGACGAACAGCCCCTGGAGAACTACCTGGATGTGAGTGTGTGGGCAAGCGGCGGGGCCGGCTCTGAGGACTTGGCCCGCAGGAAAGAGTGTTTCCCTGGGGTCTTGGAGGATGGGCCGGGGCTCTGAGGCTCCAGACAGTGACCCAGGGTCTCCCCCTTGATATCAGTGGCCCCGGGCAGGCAGGAAAGCTCACACTCAGAGCTGTTGCTTTTTGTTCATTCATTCATTCCTTCGCTCGTTCATGCAATGTTTATTCCTTCTGAGCTCCTCGTTACATGTCAGGGCCTGTGCTGGGCTCAGGGGAAAACAGCGGTGAGCAAAGTCATAGTCTAGGAGACAAAGACAGTAATCAAGGAGTCTTGCAAACCAATGAAAAGAACAGGCAGCAGGAGGACCACAGAGTGAAGGTGTCACACTGCGAGACTCTGCCACTTGGGCAGGGAGCCTCCCGGGAGCCATGCAGGAAGAGCGGGAATTTCCAAGAGAAGACAGAACTCCGCACAGCCTGATCACTTGTGCCGAACCCTGTGCAGGCGGGAGCACAGGGCATTTGAAGGAGAGCCCAGAGGGAGGGAAGAAGGGTGCTGCAGACTGCGGCCCGAGGAGCCGAGGGGTGGACGGAGAGAGGCTCCATCCTAACTGCCACTGATTTATCTCAAACAGGGGGTGACAAAACCAGATCTGAGTTTCAGAAAGATCACTCTGACTTTATTATTTGAGACCCGACAGCAAACACCCTGCCTTCCCACAGATATCGTATGTCCCCTCTGTGCCTGGCACAGGGCAGAGGGCACAGAGCAGTGATGACTGTGGTTCAGAGATTGGCCTCTGCCATCCAGCAGACCTGGTGCAAATGTGGGTTCTAGCACCTCTAAGTCACAGGACCTTGGCCAAGACATTTAAATCCTCTGAGCCTGTTTCTTGGTCTGGAAAACAGAAACACTAATATCTACCAACAGAGGTTGTTGCCAGGAATTCACGCAATCATGTTTTCTGGAGTGCTTAGCATGGGGTCTGGCAGGCCCTTGGTAAGAGGCTTAGTTAGCGCATTTATTTAGTTAACAAATATTTAACAAATATTGGCACCTCTCTATGCGCCAGAGGCTATGCAAGTTGCCAAAATGATGGTGAATAAGCAAAGTTCCTGGAGCTTATATTCTAAAGGGGATGACAGATAAGCAAGCGTGGAGGATAATTTCAGGTACTGATGAGGGCCAAGACAAATTAATTTATTGGAGTATGAGGAAAAAGAAGATCGAGAGAGGGCAAATTTAGATAAAGTGGTCATGGAAGGCCTGTTGGCAGAGGGGACATTTGACTAGAGACCTGAATCATTGATTTTTGAAAAAAGGATCAACCAAAGAAAGATCTAGAATAAACATTTTCCTAGCACAAGGTATAGCCAGTGCAAAAGCCCTAGGGCAGGAGGGACTGCTCATCGTCAAGGAGCAGCAAGCAGACCAGTGTGGCGAGAACAGAGCCAGCAAGGGGGGAAAATGCTGCCACTCAGAAGAAAAATACTGGTTGGTTGGCTGAGGTGGGTGGATCACTTGAGGTCAGGAGTTCCAGACCAGCCTGGAAACATGGTGAAACCCCGTCACTACTACAAATACAAAAATTAGCCAGGAGTGATGGCACACACCTGTCATCCCAGCTACTTGGGAGGCTGAGGCAGGAGAATCACTGGAACCCAGGAGGCAGAGGCTGCAGTGAGCCAAAATCACGCCACTGCACTCCAGCCTGGACAACAGAGCGAGACTTGCCTCAAAAAAAAAAGAAGAAAACTACTGGCAATGCCCTTTCTTGCAACCTGCTCACACATCTAGATGTAGAAATAAGAAAACTGGCCAAGTTTCCATCTTTAGGTGGCTTGCTTAGCTTCTGATAAAAAATTTAAGGCACAAGCACTTAAGCTGTCACTTGCCCAGTGCTAGAAGGTTCCATCCCCATCCTCTGAGAACATGTGCTACAAGGATGGGAAGACTGTGACAGACAAGACAATGGCTGAAGAGGGAACAGCAGACTGTTAGATGCTTGTGGTGCTTAGGAGAGAGCAGAGGGTAAATTGGGGGAGCAATCAGGGAATACTTCAAGGAGGAAGGCACACCAGGACTGGGCTTTCAGGGATGAAGGCAGTGGCTGGGAAGGAATGACAAGAACTGTGAGGAGGGAAGGAAAAGGTAGAGAGGGCAACCGAGGAGGTGACCCAGAGAGAGCCCCTAGGGAGGCCCCGACAGAGAGACCCCGGTCCATGAACTGCCCTGTCCCGGCCTCGGCAGGTGGAGTACTTCGGCACTATCGGCATCGGAACCCCTGCCCAGAATTTCACCGTCGTCTTTGACACTGGCTCCTCCAACCTGTGGGTGCCCTCAGTCTACTGCTACAGTCTCGCGTGCAGTAAGTTCCCAGCCTGCCCCACCCCACTCTCGCTCCCCAGCACCAGCTGACCCTGGGGAACCCTGGACACCCGTGGGCTTCAGACACCTCCCCCCTCAAACCTGCTGGAGCCACTCAACAGGCATTTACTGAGCACCTACTACGTGCCAAGCACTGGGCGCAGGTGCTCCACGGGGTAAAGGGATGAGTGATATGACCCCTGCGGTCAAAGACTTTCCAGGCTGAAGGGAGAGAGAAGCTCCCCAAAATAACCACAGCCTGGGAGAGGAAGTTTAGGGGCCCAAAGCAAGACAGGGCCAAAGGGCTGGAGGAGAGCCCGCCAGGAAAGAGTCCAGTGTGTGTGAGAAAATGGCTCCCAAGCCTGGCTAGGACATGCTGGAGATGAGTGCTGAGCTCGTTTTTTTAAGAACAAAAAAATTTTTTAAATGATTGGTTTGCTAACGAAAGAGAGCTTGTCTTTGGAGGTCATGAGCAATGTGTGTTGCGGGTTCCTTCCTCTTCTAATGTATTCACCTGAGTTTTAATTAACATGAGGTGCCTCTAGCTTCTTCCACATCGTAACAGGAGCACTGGCCGGGGGCTGGAGCGTGAAAGCGCTCATCACCGGGCAGCCACCAGCCTGCTCAGCTCAACGTTGGCCTTGGGGGGTCCCCAGCAGGCCCTTCGGGTTGGCTGGGGACCTGCCATCAGTGAAGGGTCCCAGTAGTTCAATGAGACAGGACAGAACTTGGCGTCTCTTGGGGTCCAAGGGTCTGGGGGAAAGGTCACTGCTCACCTCCAGAGCCCTTCCTGGGGCCAGGGCACCCCATCCCAGGAAGACATCCCAGCCTGTGACCTTCACCCAGCTCTCAGAGGCTGACAATCACCGCTTTCCCTTGCAGTGGACCACAACCTCTTCAACCCTCAGGATTCCTCCACATACCGGGCCACCAGCAAGACAGTCTCCATCACCTACGGCACCGGCAGCATGACAGGCATCCTCGGATATGACACTGTCCAGGTGGGCGCCTGCAGGCTGCCGCTGAACCCTGCCATCAGGCACCCCCTGAATAAGCTTATTCCAGCACGATGAGTCTCGGTGATCACAAAAGTAACCTGATTGGGGGTGCAGGTCGGGGAGAAGCAGCAGAGATGTCACAGACGTTGCTAGCTCGGGTGGCAGTGAGTAAAAGGGTGGGCTGCCGGGAGCCATAAGCCAGCCTCAGCTCCACCCAAGCAGAATGTTATGGAGGGTGGGGAGAGTCCGTAAAGGCTCAATTCTCTACTAGCACCTCCTCTTCTTCCTCCTTCTCCCGACCTGCAGCAGCCCCCCCACGTCAGGAAATCTCCACAAGCCCTCTCTGCTACTTTTGGGGCATGGCAGGGGTCAAAGGCCCTGATTCGCCCGGGGTCTGCTTTGCATTTCTTCATCCGTAACACAAACACACAGCGAATATCGGTTCTCCAGCAAAATCTCACACTGAGTCATAGACCGTGGCCATCTGCAGATCAGCTGCCATGGTTACCTCCAGCAGAGGAACGAGCATTCCAGGAGACAGTCCCTCTCCCCTCCTTCCGGGCTGATACCCTGGCAGCCAAGTCCTGCATGGGATGAACCAGGGCAGCTGTGGGCCTGAGGCTGGCACCCAGAGCTCAGTGAACGTGACCTGAGGGTGAACATCATCTCGGTTCCCCCACCCAGGTTGGAGGCATCTCAGACACCAATCAGATCTTCGGCTTGAGCGAGACCGAACCCGGCTTCTTCCTGTATTTTGCTCCCTTCGACGGCATCTTGGGGCTGGCCTACCCCAGCATTTCCTCCTCCGGGGCCACACCTGTCTTTGACAACATCTGGAACCAGCGCCTGGTTTCTCAGGACCTCTTCTCTGTCTACCTGAGCGCGTAAGTTGGGTGGAGAGGGGCCTCCTCCCACCTCCCCCTGCAGAGGTCACAGTGTTCTGGCCCAGCAGCAGCTGTTCAAGGCTGGCTGCGATGGAGAGGGTCTTGGGAAGCAAGGGATTTGGAAAGTCAATGTCTGAGGGTGGAGAAATGTGTCTTTGGAGAGTGATAGTGCCAAGTCTCTCTCTGTCGGGCCATGTGCACTCCATCTCATTTACCAGCGTCTTTGTCCCTTGATGTGCACAACTCAAATGTCATCAGCCATTTGCCCCCCAGTGCCAGTTCCGTCGTACTTGGCCCCCAAAGATGCCATTGAAAGTGAATACACTTGGGCAGGCGCAGTGGCTCATGCCTGTAATCCTAGCACTTTGGGAGTCTGAGACGGGAGGATCACCTCAAGTCAGGAGTTCAAGACCAGCCTGGCCAAAGTGGCAAAACCCCGTCTCTACTAAAAAATACATTCCCCTGGGGGTGAAACTCCTCCCAGCTAAGAACAAGAGATGTCTACCATCAAGTCCTTAAGAGCCGACACTGTCACCCATTCACATCCCTGGGGTCGCCATGGCTACTAGAGTGAGTACCACAGTGGAAACCACACACTCAACCTAAAAGACCCGTGTTCTTCCAAACGTAGTTCCACCACTCCCCCGCTGTGTGACCTTGGGCAGGTGGCCTCACCTCCCTCAGGCTCAGTGTCCTCATGGTAAGTGGAAATAACAGTGACAGTGTCCACTGCGTGGGCCCTGGCCTATGAGGACAAGAAACCACATTTGTCACACCCCAGGACAGCCTGCCAAGTGCCCAATCAAGGGTAGCTCTGAGGAGCCAACAGCAGATGTTCACACAAATGAACGAACAGAGAAATTCATGTCTTCTTCCCTCACTTTCCACAGCGATGACCAGAGTGGCAGCGTGGTGATATTTGGTGGCATTGACTCTTCTTACTACACTGGAAGTCTGAACTGGGTTCCTGTTTCTGTCGAGGGTTACTGGCAGATCTCCGTGGACAGGTGAGACTGCCACAGACAGGCAGCATCCAGGCCTGGGCCCCACATCCCATTTCCTTATGGATTCATAGTTAACCAGCTTTCCAGAATCCCCCCAGGGAGAGCTGACACAGGGGAACACACTCCAGGGGGAAGGCGGAAGTTGACCCAGCCAGAGAAACCCTAGAAAGACACGTCCCGGGCGGAGGAGGGAAGAGCTGTCTGGGAAGCCGAGACTCTGCAAGGGTCAGATAGCCACTGTCCTAATAGTCACGGAGGCAGAACAATCCACCAGCATCCCTGGGGAAAGCTGGGCAACCACCTGTCCACACATCTCAATTTAACGGGCCTGGAAACCAGCAATGCTCCTCCCACTCGAGGAGACGTGTCACTTTCAGTGTAGAAGTAGGGCAAAATGGCTAAGAAATTGTGTGAAGTCATTTCTCAAGAGTGAACAATTTCCCAGGACAATGACTTTTGGTACTAAAACTGGGACCGTCCCAGGCAAAGCAGGACACATTGATCACCTCATGTCTGCCCAGCCATGCTAGCATTTCACCAGTTCCTCCAACTCCTGCCCCAGCCCTCTGGTCTCTGTCCCTCCCCGCATACCGTCCCCTGTTGATGTCCTCCTTCTCCCTTCACCTGCCTGGAATCCCTGGGTGTCTGCTCCCCTGGCTGCTTCCCTCCACCGCCTCTCACCCTGGACCCTGTTTTGTTCCCTGCCGCATGCCTGGGTTATCATCCTGCCCTTCTGCCACCATAACTTATCTTGCCAGCCAGGCCGGGAGCTCCCTGCAGCCTGGAACTGTGAGGCTGTCTGGTTTAGCTTTGCGTTTCCCATGCCTGGCAGAGAGTAGGCACTTGCAAAATATTTGTTGGGTAAATGAATGCAGGATGAATGAATGTGTAAACGAGAGGAACAGAAATTTCACGCACTGGCCAATGGATGGGTGGGGAAGAAATGTCTGGGGTCACCTCCTGGTTCCCCCTTGGAGAGATGTACCCCTGAGGGCTCAGGAACCTTCACTTGCTTCTTGCCCTCAGCATCACCATGAACGGAAAGACCATCGCTTGCGCTAAGGGCTGCCAAGCCATTGTTGACACCGGCACCTCTCTGCTGACCGGCCCAACCAGCCCCATTGCCAACATCCAGAGCGACATCGGAGCCAGCGAGAACTCAGACGGCGAGGTGAGTCCAGCCCCGACGGCTCTGTTCTACACTCAAATAGTGGGTGTGCCAGGCACACGGGACCAAAACCCTTGTAACTTTTCTCACCTCACTCTTTCCAGATGGTGGTCAGCTGCTCAGCCATCAGCAGCCTGCCCGACATCGTCTTCACCATCAACGGAGTCCAGTACCCTTTGCCACCCAGTGCCTACATCCTGCAGGTGAGGGGGCTCTGGACCATCCACTAGAGGGGCTCACACAGAATGTGGCCACAGAGTCCCCTCTGCAGAGGGAAAGTGCGCTTCCACGAGCTGAAGCCGAGAGGCAGAGGCAGACGAACATCTGCCCCAGACAGCTCCGGAGAGAAGGAACGGATTGAAAACAAACGCAGGAATAAGAACTCGGATACAGCCCCCTAAGGGAACAAGTGAAGCAAAGGTTAATGGAGGGAAAAGAGGATTCTATTTGGATCCCTGGGTCCAAGTCCTGGGTCTGAATTACCAGCCCATTGATTCTGAGCAAGCCATAGCTCATCTCAGCCTGTTTTCTCATCCAAAATGTAGACATGGCAGCTTTCCCCACCCTCAGAGTGTGGTTAGGTTAACCAAGTGAGACTCATCACATCAGAACTACCAAGGGTTGGGCAAATGGAAATCCTCATTTCCATAGGCTGGGGCTTCCGACACTCCTACCATCTCTACCAGGTAGCAAATCTTTAGCTGTACGAGCCACAGGAAAACTCTCCCTTCTATTATTATAACGTCAGGTGGAAAACTGATTTTGCCAGTGGACTGATGTTACTCAACAAGAAGCACTGATGCCTGGGCTCCCCCAGTGATTCTGATTACATTAGGAGAGGGCAAGGCCTGAGCAATGGGATGGGCTACGGGGGTTCAAAGCTCCCTAGGTGACGTGCAGACAAGGTCACAGCCCAGTGACTTAGTGAGGCAAGAGGCTAACAGCTCCTCCGGTTTGCCCCTGGTCGGGATCAGAATAATCATGAGAAAAGGCTGTGTGGGCTGAGTTTTCACACTCCTTCCTACCAGCTGAATTCTCCCCAAGGCCTTAGCTCTGATGCTGATGTCAGGGTTCCTGTGCCTGCCAGAAACGCCAGATAATGTCCAGTAATGCGTAGAAACCAATCGTGCTGTGGACAGCTTCTACAGGCCGACTCCAGGCCAACAACAGCCGAGTCCCTGGACACCGAGCCAGGAAGCTCCTCCTTGCACGTGCCTTGCAGCTGGACCAGGGCGCCCTGGATGTTTATCACTCAGTGCCTGTCACTCCTGAATCGGCGTCTCAACTCCACTTTTATTCTCCTTTTCTCCAGAGCCAGGGCAGCTGCACCAGCGGCTTCCAGGGCATGGACGTCCCCACCGAATCTGGAGAGCTTTGGATCCTGGGTGATGTCTTCATCCGCCAGTACTTCACTGTCTTCGACAGGGCAAACAACCAGGTCGGCCTGGCTCCCGTGGCTTAAGCCCAGGTCTTTCCAGCCACCTCCCAGGAAGATCTGACCTCCGTCCTCTGCCCACTTTAGATGTATCTAATTCTCCTGACTGTCCTTCCCAGGGGAGTGTGGAGGTCTTGGCCCTGTTCCCTGTCTTACCAATAATGTAGAATAAAAACGTAACCTACTGAAACAGGTTTTGTGGAGCTGCTTCTCTTTGCTGGTCTTTTTCCTTCACATCACTGGGGTTAGAACGCCAGGGCAGGGACCAAAATGACCACATCCACTTGGATGGCACCCAACAGAGTGACCCCAGCAGCGGACACTTCATGGTGGAGCCAGGAAGACAGAGGCCTGCAGGGGGCTGTGCTGGAAGCATCATAAAAAGACCTGGGGGCCAAAAATGCTGGGCTCATTCTCTTCTCATAGAAGGGACAGTGAGAGCTGAGATCGTGCCATTGTACTCCAGCCTGGGCAACACAGAGAGACTCCATCTCAAAGAAAAAAAAAAAAGAAAGAAAGAAAGAAAAGTAAAAATAGGGGACTGAAGCTCTTAGTTATGGGAGTCAACTTCCTACTTCTCCCAAGCCAATAAGAGATTATGAGAAGGCTGGGCGCAATGGGTCAGGTCTGTAATCCCAGCACTTTGGGAGGCTGAGATGGACAGGTCACCTGTGGTCAGGAGTTTGAGACTAGCCTGGCCAACATGATGAAACCCCGTCTCTACTCAAAATGCAAAAATTAGCTGGGCGTGGTGGTGCGTGCCTGGAATCCCAGCTACTCGGGAGGCTGAGGCAGGAGAATCGCTTGAACCCGGAAGGTGGAGGTTGCAGTGAGCTGAGATCGCACCATTGCACTCTAGCCTGTGAAACAGAGCAGGACTCCATCTCAAAAAAAAAAAAAAAAAGAGAGAGAGAGAGAGATCGTGAGGAAAGGAAAGCAATCAGGAGAGACAGGAGAGGTGGACACTAATGGCGATGTCCCTAAGTAGACAGGATAGGGCAGTGTTGTCTACAAGACATGGACAGGAGAAGTGGAAGAAGCTGATACCCCACAGTCTTCCAGGACGCCCCTGTGATTCGCTGGTGACCAAGACTCACTGTCAATCTCCCGCAAGGTCCCAGGCACAAGACCCTGAACACATCTGTTTCCCCATCTGTAACAAACAGAATGGTGTTCCACTTCCCTGAGCAGAGGCTGTGAGACAGAGAATTAAGCACACTCAGTAGCATATATTCCCTAGAAAGGCAAAGAGGAAATGGAGCAGTTTCTCAGACTGGGCTTGGTAGCAAAATGTTCAATGGAAAATATAGTTTCAAAGTAAGTATAGAACATGCTACATTCTAGGCCCTTCCCCAGGGTTCACCAGCTACAGTTCCCAATCAAAGGCTCTGACAAGTCCTGCTGCAAAGTGATCTGTTTCATTTTAATTCAGCTGAGCTTGATCTCAGACTTTCCTGGATCCTATCTGTTCTCCTGGGTCTGGCCCCATCCTTCCTTCCTTCCCCATGTCAACCCCAGCAGCTGCTACTCAGCCTTTCTCTCCCAGCACCTCTTCCATTCCCAACCTGGGATTCCCGAACCCAGCCAGCATCTAAAGAGCTTCCTCATCAGACAGATCATTTGACCAGAAAGCCCCGTGCCAATGTATCCGATTTGATCCTCCCTATGTTGCTGCACAAGAGAAGATGAATTCACAAGCCTTTGCTGCAGTCTCAGGTCTCTGCTTCATGCATCTTCCTCTAAGGGCCTTGGGGGTCTAAGCACAGCTCCTTCCGTCCTTTTCATTCACACTCGTCCAGGAGTGTTATTTTAATCTCACAGGTCTCCTGCCCCATCCATCCTCACCTGTCCCAAATGATCACTCCGACACATTGCTGGTGGGAGTGTAAATTGGCACCACCCTAAGGAGCATGATGTGGCTGTTTCTATCAAAATTAAAGAAGCATATACTGGCCGGGCGCAGTGGTTCATGCCTGTAATCCCAGCCCTTTGGGAGGCCAAGGCAGGCAAATCACCTGAGGTGAGGAGTTTGAGACCAGCCAGGCCAACATGGTGAAACCCCTTCTCTACTAAAACTACAAAATTAGGCCGGGCACGGTGGCTCATGCCTGTAATCCCAGCACTTTGGGAGGCCAAGGTTGGCGGATCACGAGGTCAGGAGATCGAGACCATCCTGGCTAACATGGTGAAACCGGGCCTCTATGAAAAATACAAAAAATGAGCTGGTTGTGGTGGTGGGAGCTTGTAGTCCCATTAGTAGGGAGGCTGCAGCAGGAGAATGGCATGAACTCAGGAGGTGGAGCTGGCAGTGAGCCAAGATCGTGCCACTGCACTCCAGCCTGGGTAACAGAGCGAGACTCCATCTCAAAACAACAAGAAAAATACAAAATTAGCCAGGTATGGTGACACATGTCTGTAATCCCAGCTACTTGGGAAGCTGAGGCAGGAGAATTGCTTGAACCTGGGAGGCGGAGGTTGCAGTGAGCCGAGGAGATGACCACACCGCCCTCCAGCCTCAGCAACAAGAGTGAAACTCCATTTAAAAAAAAAAAACCATATGCCTTTTGGCTCAGTAACTTCACTTCTGGAAATTCACCTTAAAGATACACTTGTACGTGTGCAAAATGATATAAGGACATGATTCTTTGCAGCATCATGTGGAAAAGCAAGATTTGAAATGACCGAAAAGTCCATCCACAGGGGTTGCTTCAACAGCTTATGCTGCATCCACACAATGTACAGCTGGAAAAGGAAAAAGCAAATGTGCTCACTAGGTGCTAAGATGGAAAGTTTTTTGTTGGTTTGTTTAAGACAGAGTCTTGCTCTGTCTCCCAGGCTGGAGTGCAGTGGCGCGATCTCAGCTCACTGCAACCTCCACCTCCCAGGTTCAAGCAATTTTCCCGCCTCAGCCTCTCGAATAGCTGGGATCACGGGCGCCTGCCACCACACCCAGCTGATTTGTGTATTTTTAGTAGAGACGGAGTTTCACCATGTTGGCCAGCCTGGTATGGAACTCCTGACCTCATGATCCACCCACCTCAGCCTCCCAAAATGCTGAGATTACAGATGCGAGCCACTGCGCCCAGCCTCAGAAAGATCTTAAAAAGAAGGTAAGTTAAAAAAACAAAGTGAATTATGTGATTTTGAGCCTCTGAAAGTTTGTCCTACTTAGAAACCTACTGTGACTTGCCTTCAGGCCATGCATCTAATAACCTTCAAAATCGGGTCTCTTGAAACAGATTTGATCATTCTGCCCTTTGGGAAGCTCCCAGGTGCAAGGGAAACTGAGGCCATAGAATAGGCTTCCAACACACCCCCATTCTGTTCTGTTTCTCAGAACCCTGAAAGTGGAATCCTAGCTCAGGAAAAATGCAGGGTGTCTCCATCCAAGAACAAACACCCCCTTGCTTGTTGGAGCCCAGGCTCCTGAGAATTCGAAGCAGCTCATCCCATTAAAGGCACTGCACACCCCGCTGGGGGCTTCAGGTGGACTCCTGCCTCCTGGTGCACTGTGGTTTATCGTGGGCAGAACATGTTCTTACCTGGCCCAGTGAGAGCCCTGGCCCAGCCCTCCACCGATGGCTCCTGCACCTCTGCCCCAAGAGTTTTCTGGTGCCTGGGGACGAGCAGAAAGGCAGGCTCAGTACTATGGCAAGGCCAGCTGGGTGTGCTAGAGAGCCAAGAGCCCAGGACGAGGCTCCACCAGTGAGGGACGAAAGCTGAGGGACAACTACTGGTGCATCTTCACACCCTTGGGGGACAATCCTGAGGCAAGGCATGGGCTCCACATTCTCTCAGAGGGTCCCTAGAAGGACAAAGTGCCAATTGCCTATAGCTGTAACCGGCTCATCAATGCCCCTTGGTCTTTTTCTCTTGGCTCTCATCCGAATACCATCTCCGGGTCTGCTTTAGGGGGAACCCAAACTCAAATAGTGTTCACAGGGACCCTCCTCAACTGTGGGCCATCAGCTGTCTCTCCAAACGCCAGCAGGAAAACCTCATCAGGTGACATGTGAAGCAAAGGAAAAATGCCTGGACTGGGAGTCAGAAAAATGGGGCTCTCCTCCCATTCAGCCGTCATAATCTGTGTAGCCTTAGAACACTCTCCTAACTTCTCTGAGCCTCTGCTTCTCAGCTGTGATACTGGATGGGGAACAGTCCAGTTAAGCCTGTTTTTATACTTGGAAAAACTTAGGAAAATTGTTTACAGCTGTCCCCTTGCCCCACCCCCCACTAACCTTTTTTCTTTTTTTTTTTTTTTTTTTTTGAGACAGGGTCTTGTTCCGTCACCCAGGTTGGAGTGCAGTAGTGTGATCTCAGCCCACTGCAACCTCTGCTTCCTGGGCTCAAGTGATTCTCCAGCCTCAGCCTCCTTAGCAGCTGGGACTGCAGGCATGCGCCACCACGCCTGGCTAATTTTTGTATTTTTGGTAGGGATAGGGTTTTGCCATGTTGCCCAGGCTTGTCTCAAACGCATGAGCTCACAGCGATCCACCTGCCTCAGCTTCCCAAAGTGCTGGGATTGCAGGCGAGAACCACCGCGCCCGACTCTTTTTTTTTTTGGAGATGGAGTCTCACTCTGTCATCCAGGCTCTGGAGTGGAGTGGTGCGATCTCGGCTCACTGCAACCTCTGCCTCCTGGGTTCAAGCGATTCTCCTGCCTCAGCCTCCCAAGTAGCTGGGACTATAGGCACGTACCACCATGCGCAACTAATTTTTGTATTTTTAGTAGAGATGGGGTTTCACCATATTGGTCATGCTGGTCTTGAACTCCTGACCTCGTGATCCACCTGCCTCAGCTTTCCAAAGTGCCAGGATTACAGGCATGAGCCACAGTGCCCGGACTCCTTTTCTTTTTTTTAACATTCAAAATGAACATTATTGACATGAGTCCTATTTGCAGAGGCAGGTAGGGGGGACTAGTATTAAACTTAAAATGCATGCTAACTTATTGCATAAAAGAATAGCAATGAGGAAATTGACACTAATTTTTAGCCACTATCATTTTGACAGATGGACTTGTTTGAAAAGTTGCAGCACGGGGGCAATGAGCACTCTAGGCTTTCATCCTGAAATCAGACCCCATGTGGCATCACTAAGCCCGGTGGGCTGTAGCAAGCTTAGGGGCCACAGGGCCACAAGTGTAAACCACTGAGACTTACGGAGGCATTATCACACGTCAATGTCACAACTCCATAAAGCA